GCATTGCGGACATTGTCTTAACAAGTTTGAGCTTGTTCTTTCTTGTTTCCAGAGAGTAAATAAACCCCTAAACGAGATAATTAACAAGTATAAACCTGCTAAGTACACAAGTAGGCTTGTTTAGACAATGTGTGCCATGTGGTCTCGCGTCTCCCAGTCATAAAATGAATGATAGATACTCGAAAGTTAGAATAGGCTGCCACTGTTTGCCTCAGTGGGTTTAACATTGTTGTCGTAAACGTCTAACCATCTGGAGTAGAAGGATAAAATTCTACAAATACAATGTGGATCACTTGACATATGATGGGATTTGGGTTCATTTTTGTTGTTTTTGGCTTGTTTTATGCTACGTTTTGATAGTCGACTTTTTCTGTTTTGATCCTACTGTGGTCATTCTCACTTCGGGTTTCGGTAAAGTTTGAGACCCTGAACCGCTTAAGCGCCATTACCGTGAGAAACTGCAAATTTTCAAATTTTCGGTTTTTGAGATTTCGAATGAGCAAAACAATTTGAATGAGTTTGATGCTTTCGGGGCCCAACAAAACGCAAATGGTGTTGCTTGGACTTTCTAATAGGAACAGGCACCAACCTACAGCGTAAAAAAGATACCGCTTTGGCGTGAATCCATCTTGCGGACATCTCCAGAAATAATGGGGCCTTCCAACTCCCCCAATTTCAACCCCATGGATTTCCTTTCTGATCGAGGAACAAGCCTCTTCCATATCCAAGCTATGCCACAGGATTCGCTGAAAGGAGACATGATATTACTTGAAACGGAACTTCGTCGGAAATTTTTGCAGGCATGTGCATTTCCTGGAAGAAATTAAATGCTTGCATAGAAAGCAGAGCCGCTTTTCTTGAAAGTGATGTGCATGGATACGGCTAGTGACCCTGTATCTGACTGTGCGTTAATATGATATTCTGTACAGCAAGAGGAAACGGAAACGGATGGACTGATTTTTACCGTTGATTTGATGTCTTCCGTTTACAACAGTTTGTCATCTCAGCGTACCCCCTCTTTCGATCACATGAATTGTATGACCTGACCACAAAAAGCGTGTCATTCTGCAGTTGACATGTACGTTTTCACTGCGCGCATCTTTGATACAAACGAATGAAACTGAATGTAAGCAGGCACGATTGACTTCACCCGAGTTGAGTAGGTGAGTCCCGTGTCATGCCCAAATCCCGAAACTTTCTTGCTGAAATCGCATCACCTGTAAAGCAAAGTAGAGTACTTTCGTGCTCCATGTTACATGCAGGCCAACACTTTGCGATGCGGACGCGGTGCGCACTGCCGGGGACGCGTTGCACTGCCGGAGGAGCGAGCAAGTCAGCTGGTGAATTTTGGAATAGCGACAGATCCACTATTATCTATGTCGGCTTCTGATCCGATAACAATCAACTTCGATTATTCCGTCCCACCACCACCAATGGGATGTCTGTATGAGGTATTCTGCTAAATTTCCGAGGTTTTGCGGCTAGTGCACTTCGGTGTCGTTTCGCGTTTTGCGTCATGCGTGAAAGTATGCTAGAATATCGGAGATGATCGACTTCAAAACAGAAGCATGAACGGCAGTTTACATCGACAGTCAGTTCGCCAGCGATCAGAATTTGAAGATTACAGCCTTTAAACAATGACAGCATCTTATCAATAAAGTTTGTCGTACGAATCTCGTCTATTTAATTGAGTATGCATAGTTGAGAAACCCTACAATTATTTTTACCTGTCACAGTTGTGGTCTTTCTGTTACTTTATTGCTTTTTGAATTTCAAGCTCTTCGTTCATTCAGAGTCCTCATTGTAATGGTGACGCTGGTGTGCACAGTCCTGCGCCACCTTCGAGTTTTCAGCGGAAAACTACTTACAAAAATGGAACTATAGAATTGACCATAATTGAGTAAGGCTGCAGTTATGATTATTTTGCGTATTTTCGTGTGGTTGTTTACTTTTTTGTTTATGTTTACCCAAGAAGTTGTGTGGTAGTAGTGTGGTTGAGATCGTAGCAGTTGCCTGTTTACCTGTATCTTCTTTCCATCTTGTTAATTATCTTACAGTGATGAACCCTCATCATCCTCACCTCATAATAGTTGGGACACAGATGATCAACCCGATGAAATTGTCAAGAATCTCTCCGGTGTTGGTAGGTCGAGTTACTCTTA